CCCCAAAACCCCAAAACCCCAAAACCCCAAAACCCCAAAAATTTATACACTAATAGAATTTAAAAATTAGTAGGAAATATGAACCCAATGATGACAAATTTTGGCATACAGCCTGGGCTAGGCAGGAAGCGGAAGAAGCCAGAGAGGGATATGATCGATGAAATGCTTGCAGAAGAAGAGAATGAGGATCTTTCTAACCAGAAAAGAGCGAAGACTGAAGAAGGGAGTGATAGATTGATTGAGAATACTAAGAGGAGGGAGATGAAAGAACAAAACTCTGGCAAAGAGAAGGTCCAAAATACTGAGATCAGTAGAAAGACAGGAAAGCTAATCGTGAAGGTAAGCTCTTCCTAACCCTAACACATCTAGGTCTACGAAGTGCTTGACAAGAACTCTTTTGATCATTTCCGAAAAGTCATGAAAAAGGTGAACAAAAAGGTGTACACACATGCAGACAGCATCATCAACGATGTAAGCTGATAATTTCTGATAGTATAGATCCTGATAGCATTCTTTAACTCAAGTATTGGAGTTGCAGATTTGAACTCAGAGATTTCACCGGTAGAAGTCCCGCTTTATTTGGACCGAAAGGATCTATCCACACAGTTAGCAATGTACATGCCCCGAGACATCAGGCCTAAGTATAAGGAAATGCTTAGCAATTTCTATACTAAGTATGAGAGCCACCATAAGAATGCTAGAAGTGCTGTTAAGAGACAGGCCAAGACCAAGCCAAAGGAAATTAAAAATAAGATTGACGAAATCGCCAAAAGAAGAGCTGATATTAAGAAAATGAAGAAAAAGGAAGAAATAGATAAGATGATGATGAGAAAAATCGCTGAAAACACTGAGGATAGTAAGGGAGATGAGCCTGAGCCTGAAAACGATATCTTCTGAATGGTTTGCTATAAGAACGACAACCTCTATGTCGCTAAATGTGGCCATTATGCATGTAAGGTGTGCTGGGACTCATGGCTTGAGAGATATCTTGAATGCCCAAAATGCAGAAATAGGACTAGAAAGAACCAGATTGTCCCTCAGTCACAAGAAGATGTCTTTAAAAAATAGCTTTTGATTCAATATTAGCTATTAATTTTGGGGTTTTGGGGTTTTGGGGTTTTGGGGTTTTGGGG